GAATAGAACCAAGATAAAAGGTATTGCATGCCGTAAATCAAGTTCCACTAAATTTTAAAAGATTCAAATAATTAAAAAAAATTCCCTGATTACAGCAGAATAAAATTAGAAATCAATACAGAATAACATTGGGAAAATCTCTTGATTTTTTTTTCTAAATAGTATTTGTACTCACCAACGAGAGAGAGGAGAGAGAAAGCACCCTTTCAATAGAATGTGGTCATGCTGCAATCCCTTCTCTATCCTGCTGGAATTTTGATCACACACATGTGCACTTAGCATGTTTTTCAAGCATCTGGGGCTAGGATTTGAGCCACCTTGATTACTCTCGTGGGCTCTGGCTCCTTTAATCATTAGGATATGGGGGCAGCCCCTCTGATGTTTAAAATAACACACTTTCAAGTAACTGACTGGTCAAAAAAGAAGTCCAAAGGGAAATAAAATAATGGTTACATTGCTGGACTCCCACATAGTCGACTACAGTTCAAGTCCTGGACCTGGCAGCTTAAAACTCATGCCGGACACCTGTTCGTGTGTGCCCAAAATCCTGAGAGAACGGAGGAAGGAGGGAATACAGTGTGACTATTCTCCTGGGGAGAGATTTCTTGCTTTCTGTCTCTCTGTGTCTCTCTGGCGAGCACATGCACTTTATAGAAAAAATCTCTCTTAAAGAAAAGTATTATACACTGAGTAAAAAACAAATTCTGATATTGTGGTAATTGATTTCTTTTTTTAAAATATGAAATCATTAGCCTTGGAATAAACTTTTTAAAATAATTTTTAAATTTTATTTTCATTATTATTATTTAAAAAAAATTGCTACAGGGTATATGCACTTACCTGAGAGAAAAGCGGGGGGAGAAGGAGTGAGGAAGCAAGCTGCCAGATCAGGGACTCAAACCATGTTCTGCATGTGGGAGTCCAGTGCCCTAACCACCACTAGTTCATTGTATTGGTGATGTATTTTCCTTTTCATGTCTTTAGATTTAATTTGCTAATATTTTATTTAGGATTTGTGTTTGAGAGAAATTGGTTTGTAGTTTTCCTTTCTTTTTTAACATATAGCAAAATGGAAAGAATTTCGCAGTGAACACTAATTTATCCATCTAGGTTCTATGCCATTTTTTTACACATGCCTGGCATGAAAAAGGAGACCTTGGATTGCAAACCCAGGACCTTCCTACGTGGCTTCAGCATTTCAGAGTACTGATTTACCTCTGTGCTACCACAGTCGGCCCAATATTTATCTATTTATTTATGCATGTATGAATGTATGCATGTATATATGAATGAATGAATGATTTCTTTCCTGTAAGACTCATGCTCTTACCATAGAGACAGAAAGGGAGAAATCTCCCCCACTCCCCGCAATTCCTTCACTTCCATTCTCCTCTTGAGATTTTGGCATGCATGCACACGTGCCTGGTGTGAGTTTTAAACTGCTGGGTCATGGACTTGAACTGTGGTTGACTATGTGGGAGTCCAGCGACGTAACCATTACACCATCTCCTGGTTCCTAATTTTATTTTTAATTATGGTAAAAGACGTACAAGATAAAATGTGTAAGTTTAACCATCTTTAAATGTATAAAGATGTTCAGTTTTGTTAAATATATTCACATTGTTATGTAAGCAATTTCCAGAACTTCTTTATCTTACAAAACTTCTTTATCTTACAAAACTCTGTACTCATTATAAAGCACCCCCCTATTTACTTCTCCTCCTAACCTCAGGCAGTCTCCATTTTACTTTGTTTCTATGGATTTGACAATTCTAGCTACCTCATGTCAATGGAGTCATACATCTGTCTTTTTGTGACTAGCTTATTTCATTTAGTATAATGTCCCAAGGTTCATCCATGTTGTAGGTTATGTCAGAATTTCCTTTCTTTTTAAGACTGAGTAATATACCATTGCATGTATATACCACATTTTATTTGTTCATCTCTCTTTTTTTTTTTTTTCTGAGAGGTTTTTGCTAAAGGGCGCATGTGCTTGCCAGAAAGACAGTGACAGAGAGACAGAAGGTGAAAAACCAAGCCCCCCCCTCCGGGGGGGTATGGCCATGCCACAATCCCTTCTCCTCCATTCTCCTCTTGGGATCTTGGGCACACATGCACACGCACTCAGCATGAGTTTAAGCCACCGGGCCCAGGACTTGAACCACAGTCAACTATATTGGAGTCCAGTGACATAGCCATTACACCAACTGCTGGTCCCTATTTGTTCATCTCTTAATGGCCATCTGGGTTGTTTCCACCTTTGGCTATTGTGCATAATGGTGCTGTGAATGTGGTTGTACAAATAGCACTTTGAGACTCCGTTTTCAGTTCTGGTGTGTTTTAAGCCACCAGGTCTAGGACTTGAACCATGGGAGTCCAGCGATGTAACCATTATACCATCTGCTGGTCTCAATCTGTATTTTTTTCTACAGTTACATGCTTTCCTTAATGAATTTTTCTTTCTGTCTGTATTATTTATTTTAGTATTTCTTTTTATTTAGGGTTTCTGGCAATGAATTCTCACAGCATTTGTTTGAAACCTGATTTTACCTTTTCAGTTTTGAAAATGTTTAATTCTTCAGAAATGTTGTAAGACTCACAGTGAGTGAGTCATCTGTATACACTTTACCTAGATTCACCAATTAATATTTTCCCACATTTGCTTTCTCTCTCCATTTTTTAAAAATGTCACCCATTTGGGGGTTAGTTGCAGATATTACAACACTTCCCCACAATGTTTCATTCAGCATGTATCTCCTAAGGATAAAGAGCTTCTCCTACATGACCACAATATTTACAATCTTTACTCCACTTGTGTAATTTATCACTAATGCACATTATGTCATCTATATTCATAGTTCCCAGGTCTCAATAATGTGCTTGGTAGTGTTGTGTTTCTAAAGGGTTTAGACCAGTTGGTTCATAAAATATCTCTCAATTTGGATTTGTCTGATAGCTTCATCATGCTTAGATGCAGATTAAACATTCCTAGCAGGAATATTACATAGACGACATACTCTTTTCATTGCAATAATCAGGAGACACATATGTCAATTTATTTATTGAAGTTTCCTCATTCTTTTTGGTTGGAAGAAGTTCATCTCCAGAAAATTCCTTAGGAAAGGCTTATTAAAAAAGTAATCTCGGGAACCAGCAGTTAGCGTAATGGCTATGTTGCTGGACTCCCACGTAGTTGACCGTGGTTCGCGTCCTGGACCCGGTGGCTTAGAACTCACGCCGGGCGTGTGTGCGTGCGTGCCCAAGATCCCAAGAGGAGAATGGAGGAGAAGGGATTGCGGCGTGACCATCCCCCCTGGGGGGTGATTTCTCACTTTCTGTCTCTATGTCTGTCTCTGTCTGGCTGGTGAGCGCACGCTCCCTATAGCGAAAACCTCTCCAAAAAAAAGTAATCTGTGAGTTTCTGTATGTTCACAACTTTTCCTTATAAGTAGGAGTGGTTTATCATCAAATATTCCATCCCATGCAGGTATCTGCTGGCTACCATTTTGTTTATTTTTAAATGTAAAGTTTCTTATCTTTAGTTCTCTACTTTATCCATAAGATCATAAATTTTTGTGATATCTTTATTAAAACATACTACTCCAGGGAGCCCCAAGACCACTCCCAGGTTTGATGATGTGCTGGAAAGATTCACAGTACTATTTACTATATGGTGTATATACTCACAGCCAAGATTTACTACAGCAGGAGACCAGCAGTTAGTGTAATGGCTATGTCGCTAGACTCCCATGTAGTCAACTGCGGTTGGAGTCCCAGACCTGGTGACTTAAACTCATGTTGGGTGCGTGTGCGTGCATGCCCAGGATCCCGAGAGGAGAATAGAGGAGAAGGGATTGTGGCGTGGCCATCCCCCCTGGGGAGTGATTTCTCCTGGCCCTCTTTCTGGCGAACACACATATCCTGTAGCAAAAACCTCTCAAAAAAAAAAAAAAAAAGATTTACTATAGCAAAAGAATGCAAAGCAAAATCAGCATAGGAAAAAGTCATATGGAGCCAATTCCTGAGGAAATCAGGTACGAGCTTTCTAGAATCCTCTCCCAGGACATGCTGTATTCCTCTACCAATAAACTGTGACAGTGCACGTGGTATGGTGCCTACTGAGGAAGCTGGTTGGAGACTATGCCAGAGATCTCATTGGGCTTGTTTATGTGGGCGCTTTCTTCCTAGCATCTACATTTCAGACACCCAGAAGGAAAGCAGGTATTCGGCGTAAAACATATTGTTCAATCAGTTTAAGCACTATAAGCCACCTTTATCAGTTAGGGTCATGGGAGCCCTCCTGAAATATAAGTTCACAGAAATCTGCCAAGGGCCAACCTTGCAAGCAAACCTTTTCAAAGATAGCAGCATAGACCTGTTGACCTTTTTTCTGCATACCTACCTAGTCAAATGCTTTTCATCCTACTAGGAAAACTCATTGGGATATATAATAAGTCAGCCATGTCATATCTAACATAATTGGTTAATTTTCTTTTAAAACACATTTTCTTTCTTCATGATAGAGCACATGCACATAGAGTGGACACCATTCACGGAGTTTGGTCACATGCTGTCACCCTTCTCCAGTCCTCTAGGCCAGAGGCTCCTGGGCACTCATGTGCATGCCCTACTGTGCTTCAGGCTGACCAGGCTGAGGATTCCAACCACGATTGCTGTGTGGATCTCACCTGTGCTGAGCAGTGCATTACTGCTGTGCCAAAGAGCCAGCCTGCCATTCATTTTCTTGTCAGTAAAACTCAGAAATAATCAATAGAAAAATAAAGCAAAATTATTTTTTAACAGTCTCTGCAAATTATACTCAATAAAGGAAGATAACATTCTCAGTCATAACTTTAATATTTTAATCTTTTAAATATTTTAAATCAAGTTAATAAGGGCTAACTTGTTATGTGGTAAGTAACATTTTCTTCATTTATTTTTGTTAAGAGGCAGAGAAAATAACCATGTAAAGGCATTATATATTCACTCTTTTCTTTTAGCCTAAGAAAGCTATCAAGATAAAACCTCGCCCACCTATAGCTCCTCGACCTTCTAGTAGTTCTACAGCAGCAGCTCGCCACAGGTTGTTAAGGGTCCTCCCTCACATTGGGCAATCTTGTTCGCCATCTCCTGGGAATCCCTATCTACCTGAAACATCCAAGAACGCAATTTCAAGTTTGGCAACTCAGCATCCTGCTGATAGACCCATATCGTCTATCACTAGTGAATTTCTTAAGGAAGATGATAACTGGGAGAGTAACATATTGTCTCATTCCAACAGTAGCATCAAACTAACACCTCAGATACCTCAAGTGGAGTTTGAAAATGACAAAGAGCTCACTGATTCTATTCTCCATCTTGGCTCTTCCATGCCTCGACGCACAAAACACTTCTCAGGAAATCTGCCATCTAATAATGAGGATGACACTGTCTTATTTCCAACTTCAGAAGAATGTGTAACTGAAGAATCCCTTCTACCAGAAGTGAGTTCGTTCGCTTCACTCATGGAAGGAAATGCCGACGAACAGAACAGTGGCTTAGAAGGTATACGGAAGGTAAATCCAGACTTCTTACTTCCTCATGGTGATAAAGGCTTGAAAGCAACAGAGCAGCACCTTAAACATGTTGCAAGAATGTTAAGTGGTGAGTCAGGAGAGGCTTCAGTTCTTAGCCACCGCGATTTAAGTCCTCACAAGAATACACTTCTGTCACCTCTTCGCTGTTCTGCACCAGGGTCACTACATAATTCTCTAGTGAAACCACAGAGACAGTCCAAATGTTTTGAGTCTGGGAACCTTCAGTCTTCTTCACAAAATGTGCTTCGGCCATTGGATGTTCGAAACATAACTGATTCTTCTTTCTCTAGGACTACTCGCTTTCGAGGTGTAAAAGTTGATTCACCTGGGAAAAGATCTGATGTTATTTCTAAAGTTGAGGCTCGGGATATCACAGAAATGGCTAATAAGGCTTCTAAAGAGCCTGTTGGTTGTGTAAATAATATTGGTTTTCTTGCTTCACTGGCCCGGAGCACAAGCAGAGACAGTTTACAGAGCACACGTGGGGCAAGCTGGCTTTGGTCCTCTGGAATAGGGCTCTCTATGAACCTCCACCATTTTCAGGAAGAAAGCCTTAGGAAGAGTTCTCCCCAATTAGAACCTACAGAATTTTTTTCAGTAAGTATTTTTCTTTCAACGTGCTTTACCTAATTATCCTCGTAGTGATTTAACATGTTTAAAGTTTTTTGTTTACGTAAATGAAGAGAGCTAAAGTTGGGTATTTTTTTTCCTATAAGTTTCTCTGAATGTGTTTATGTGGTTTGTAGAAGACCTTTTTGGTGATTGAATTTGAATTGAAGACTGTAATTTGAAAATAGTTCACATAAACAGCTTATCACATATTTTCAAATGCAAAATATTTTTTCCAAGGAAGAACTCTTTTTTTGAGCCATCAAATTTTATTCTCTTAAAGATAAATAATAAGCACAATATTGCCAGATGTGGGACTCAGGCTCCAAGTTAATTTAATTAAGCAAAAATTAATTAATTTTAAGTGGAAGCCCAACAGCATCTTAGTAATAAAATATTAAATATTTCATGTTTGGTGATCTATTTCTTCATGGACTCATCTCTGTAGATGTTTTGTGTTTTAATCGTAGTCTGGCCGTGGCACTGGAGCGAATGGAAATAATGCAGCAGCAGGGAAAAGAATAGGTAAGCTACAGATAACCTTGGAAACAATACAAGGGCTAATAATCATTTTGCTTCCTGTTGAGTTTTTAAAGAGAAACGAGAACCTTCTCTGTAAGATATAATGGAAACTCTCTCCCTAAACTTTTTCCCAATTAAGAAAATGACTGTGAGAACTCATTGTAGGACATATGTGAAGAATAAAATACAATCTGAATTGAAATATTATGTCTGGAAAGAGGTATGGTGAAAAGCCAAGACTAGCTCAGAATTAACATGTAGTTGCCACCTTCCCCCATCACTGGCTCTCCTGGAGCAAAGTGGGCTGCTGGATGGGTTTTGAGGAAATATTCAAGAAAAGTGTTTTTTAACATCTTCGTCAGAAGTCAGGGAGGTAGTAAAGAATCTATTTTTGATCAGCAGATTATTTCTGAATAACAGAAAGGGACAGTCTGTAGGACCAGCCCTTTCCAAGGCATAGTAGCAGAAGGGAGTATAAGTACTTCCTTCTATGAATAGTGACACCTTAAAGATGCACCAACCAGTCATTATCTTCAAAGAGGTGGGAAGCCATTACTCATCTTTCTTAGCATTTTAATAATCAGACCAGAGATGGGAAACTCATTACTAAAGATGTGCCACTTTTTAAGGCCCAAGTTTCTTGTTTTTGTTTTTTTTGCTAGGGCATGCATGTACTCACCAAAGAGAGGGAGAGGGGAAAGCACCTGGTCCTGAATGGCTGTGCCTTGATCTCTCTTCCCCTCCACTTCCCCTCCTTTTGGAATTCCGGGCTCATATGCATGTACACTCAGCCCGTTTCTCAAGCCACTTGGTCCGAAACTTGAAACTGTGCAGCTGGCCATGTGGAATCTAACCACCCTAACCACCAGGCCACAGAGCCAGCCAGCCTGAGGTTTAACAAGATATTTTTATATTAAGGTGGTCATGTGAGTGTATGTTATTTTTTAAGCTTACTTATTTTATTTCTTTAATGAGAGAGAAAGAGAAATATGTACCCTCAACAGGGTCTTGTCATGCTATGATCCACCTAGAATTGACACAGTCTTAATGTGCATGGCAGAATGGTGCCCTGGCACCTGCAGCATTGCAGCTGAGCCATGTTTCTTGTTTTGAAGATCCACTTAGGGGCCTAACTACTGCTTGGCAGGCTGAGACCACATGGGAGACCCAGGTTCTACTTCCAGCCCATGGTAAAATGCTGGGTAAAGTGGCAAGCAGCTGCAGTCTTAGCTACTCAGGTAGCTGAGGCAGGAGGATTGCAAGCTCATAGCCGGCATGGGCAACATAGCAAGAGCTGTCTGAAAGAGCTGGCCATGATGGTACTTGCATGTGTTCTCAGCTACTCAGGAGACTAAAGAAGGAGGATTGCAACAAGCAGAGGCCCTGTCTGAAAACAAAACCAGATACTGCATACACATGCATATAGACACACACACAAAGACACTTAGGATTTGTTTTCCATTCCTGTGTAAAGCCCAAGATTATAAAGTCTTAATGTATCCACTTATTTTTTCAAAAGTTTATAGTAAATAGTTGTATTGTGAAATGTGCCATCTTAACCAAGTTTAAGCGTATGGCCCAGGGGCATTAAGTACATTCACATGTTGAGTAACTATCATTGTCATCCTTTTCCAGAACTCATCTTGCAAAACTGAAATTCTATGTTCAATAAATGATTTATATCCCTCCTCCTCACAGCTTTAGGCAACTACCATTCTATTTCATATTTCTGATTTTGACAACTCTAGATACCTTATGGAAGTGGAATCGTGTAGCATTTTTTTATGATAGCTTATTTCATTTAGCTTAATGTCTTGATGTTCATCAAAGTAGAATGTGTTAGAATTAAGGCATGTGTTGGAATTGTTGGTAGCATGTGTTAGAATTTTCTTCCTTTTTAAGGCTTGATAATATTGTATTGTATGCATTTACTGCATTTTGCTTTTTTTTCCCCCATCTTTCAGTGGATACTGGGTTATTTCCAACTTTTGGCTTATTATGAATAATGGTGCTATGAGCATGGGTGTACAGCTGTCTCTTTGAGGCCTGCTTTCAATTACTTTGGGTATATACCCAGGAGTAGAATTGCTTTTGGTAATATGGTATTCCTGTTTTTAATTTTTGAGGAACCACCATATTGTTTTCCACAGTTGTTGTACAGTGTTACATTCCTGCCAACAGTGTACAAGGATTCCAGTTTCTTCACATCAATATGTGTTATTTTCTGGGTGGTTTTTTTTTTTTTTTTTTTTTTGGCTTGTAGCCATCTTAATGAGTATGAAGTGATACATTATTGTGGTATTGACTTTCATTTCTATAAATAATTAGTGATTTCCTAATTAGTGATCTTGATATCTAATGATTAGCTTCATGTGTGCTTATTGGCCATTTGTATATTTTCTGTGGAGTAATGTCTACTCTTATCCTTTACCCATTTTTGAATCAGATTTTTTAAAAGAATTATTTAATTTTATTTATTCACCTTTTTGTTAAAAAAATTTGATCAGAGAGGGATAGCGAGTGAGAGAGAAAGTGAGAAACTGTGGTTGGCCCTGTGGGAGTGTCCAGCGCCTTAACCACCACACCACCTTCTGGGTCCCCTGAATCAGATTGGCTTTTTTAAAAAAATTTAAGTTTATTTGATTTCTTCCATGTGCAATAGACAGTACTTCCAGCAGAATTTCAGCCCCACAATCCATTCCCAGCCTTTAGCCAGCCCCAGAGCATCAGCAGACGTGTACATGGAGTGCACATGTACAGGAAGGCTTGTGGACTTGAATCAGAAACCTTCCCTTCTGGGATTGCTTTGTAGATGGTTATATTTTACTGCTGTGCCACTATCTGCCCCCACCAGGTTTTTTTTTTTTTTTCTTGAGTTTTAGGAGTCTATATAGTCTAGATATTAATCTCTTAAAGGATAAATGATTTGCAAAATTTTCTTTCATTCCGTGAGTTGTCTTTAAAAAAAAAAAAATTGTCAGAGGGCATATGTGCTTGTCAGAGAGAGAAGGAAGGCGAAGGAAAAAGCAGCCCCCAGTGGGATGGTTATGCTGCAGTCCCTTCTCCATTTCTCCATCATTTTGGGATTTTGGGCATGCACGTGTACGCACACACGAAAAACGTAGCTACCAGTTCTGGGATTTGAATTGTGCAGTTGCCCACGTGAAATCTGGTTTCTTTAACCACCAGGCCGTAGAGCCAACTCTGAACATGTCTTGATGCACAAGTTTTTAATTTTATTAAAGTCCAAATTGTCTATTTTCTCCTTTGTCATCTGTGCCTTTGTTGTCATAACTAAGAAATCACCACCAAATCTAATACCATGATTCTTTTCCCTCTATGTTTTCTGCTAGAAGTTTTATAGTTTTAGGTCTTATATTTAAGCCTTTGAACCACTTCAAGTTAATTTCTGTAATGGTGTAAGGTAAGGGTGTAGAACCACCTTAAGTTAATTTCTGTAATGGTGTAAGGTAAGAGTCTGACTTCATATTTTTGCATGTGGATACGCTGACCTTCCTCATTGAATAATCTTGGCACCTTCATTGAAAATCATTTGAATATATATGCAAGGGTTTATGTCTGGGCGCTCTATTCTGTTCCATTGGTCTGTGTGTCTGTCTTTATGTCCGTATTGCATTTGATTACTGGAATACACCTGCTTTTAATGTTACAGTTGCATTTTTTTTTTTTTAACACACACTGAAGTCTGTTCTGCTCTTACTCACTGTTAGAAGCCTGCATCGTACTCAGCCCTGACGCTCAGCTTTGAGGGGCTTCAGTGCTTTCTTTACTTCCCTCATACTGCCCCTCTGAAATTGCTGTTGCTGAGGTCACCGAGTTGGTGGACATGACCTGTTTCCTTACCTTACTTGATTTGTGTGGCCCTCATTCTTGAAATCGTTCTCTATCTTCCCTTTAAAAGCAAATTCTGGGTTATCACATTGTCATAGATTTTTGTTTTAGTTTTCATCTTTTTTAAATCTTAAATTTCCTTTTTTTTTTTTTTTTTTAAACTAGCCCTCTGCTTGCCCTCAGGTGTGTTTTATTTGATTTCATTCGGGTTCAAGGCATCATCTGCCACCTACAGTGATGATTCCCCTAACCAGAGCTGTGTAATTTACACTTTCCTTTCACAGTAATAACCCTGTCATTCTGAATCACCTAGAAGAGGCTTTGTAAGTTTTGGTGTAAGTTTTATTTAATTGACTTACTAAATTCCTCCATTGGTCTTCTTTTCACTTTAGGATTTCCTTTGGAGATTTTTTTCATTCTCATAGTTTTGGCCATCCTTTTAGGCAGGTGACTGCTAAACTTGCTTCTGGAACTCTGCTTTGTTACTTTTTTGGCTCTCTTTCTACTGGATGAGCTTTACTTGGTTATCTGTGTGTGTGTGTGTGTGTGTGTGTGTGTGTGTGTTTCTTTTTGCCATAGGGCACCTAGAAGGAGGGAGAGAGAGGGAGGGAGGAGAGAGGGGCGAGCAAGTGAGCGAAAGTGAAAGTGAAGGTGAAGGTAGCTCTCCCCCACTAGGGGGAATAGCCACACCACAATCCCTTCTTTTCTGTTCTCCCCTTGGGATTTTGGGCACTTGGGTACACATGCCTGGTGTGTTTTTCAGGCTGCTGAATCCATGATTCAAACTGAATGCAGTTGGCCATGTGGGATCCAGCTGCCTTAATCACCATACCGGTGGCTGGCCCAGTTTTTGCAAAAGAGTGAGGGACAGATCCATTGGATATCCTAAGATATATGCCTTCCATTGGAATTTGTTGTCATTTCTGAAAGACATTTCACTTAGTAATTAAATAAATTTAGTTCTTATATACTACTAGATGTATTCTTAATTTTAAGGTAAAAAAATCAAGTTGCTACAACAGCACAGAATTCAGTAACTATTTTTTGAAAAGCTGGTAGTACTGTGATCTAGAATGCACCTGTTATTCACTGTTAATGCAATTTAATTATAACATAAGAGAGGACATTAAAGTCATGGAAAGCTTGGGGGCTGGACGGTGGTGTATTGCTAAAACATGTTGCTCTGTGAGTCCAAGTCAGGGGGAAAGTTCCCAGACTGGGGTTACAGGCCTCCCTGGATACATGGAGAAGGTGCATTTCACTGAGGCTGCATATGTGCTGTGGCATTAAGACTCAGTTAGGAGTGCTGTCTCTCCCCACTTCCCTTTTTTTTCCTTGTCACTCACTCATGGAGGAAATTTAGGTTTTTAAAAGTTCATGGGAAAATGAAATTAAAGTATGAGTTTATTTTGGTACAGAAAAATTTTGAAATCTGTATATAGTTTTTCCTTAATACATGGTTTTTATGAACATTTTGATGATCCCCATTTGAAAATTTAGAGTTGTTTTTACATATGTGAACTGATTTGTTCTTAAAGCACATGTTCTTTTATGTCAAAAATGAACATATCAGGGACCAGCAGTTAGTGTAATGGCTATGTTGCTGGACTGCCATGTAGTCAACCGCGGTTTGAGTCCCTGACCTGGTGGCTTAAACTCACACCAGGCACATGTGCGTGCGTGCCCAAGATCCGAGAGGAGAGTGGAGGAGAAGGGATTGCAGCATGGCCATGCCCTCTGTAGGTGATTTCTTGCTTTCTGCCTCTCTTTGTCTTTCTGGCAAGCATATGCGCCCTAATAGCAAAAACCTCTCCCCCCCGCAAAAAAAAAAAGAAAGAAAGAAAGAAAAGAAAAAAGAAAAAAAATGAACACATCAAAGTTTTGAAAGAAATAAATGACTTGTTCATGGTTTGATGAGTTTTTACTTTCTTTGTTATAAGCAGGACTAAAGGACCCGTTGTGCAATACTTTGGTGCTCCTTGTGATGTGAATGAATAACATGACTGTGTGACAGTTACGTTGCTCCCAGAGGTCTCGTCAAGTATGATTGTGAATCAGGCTTGTTTTCTCTGTCAAAATTTGATGTCTTCAATAAACTGATTTCCCTTAATATGCTGAAAAGTGTTGGTATGTACAAAAAAATGTAGATCGTAATATAGAAACCTACTGTATCTTGAAAAACAGCAGTTCTACTGCAACTTCATGGAAGGTTCTGGTTAAATATAAAATAACACAGATTAATCTTTTATGGCATAGACATTTCCTATGGAAGGAACATGTTTTGTGTTTTGCTAAATAGTATTTGACATGGAGAATTTTATGCCCATTATTAATAAAGTTGTCCTTTCTCTAAACAGGAGAATGTACTCCTCACCTCCCACCTGTGAAAGTCCCTATTCAAACAAAGAAGAAAACAACAAAGCATTGTTTTCTTTGTGGAAAGAAAACAGGACTCGCTACTAGCTACGAATGCAGGCAGGTTGACCCTCTGCAAAAGCTGAGATGCTTCCTCTCTGGTGATCCAACATGGGGATTATGCAAAATAAAACGTGATGTAAATTGGCCATTCATAACATCATTAAGATGACTTCACATAGTAGCCTTCATTCAGACTTCTAATTGGCTGACGTGTAAAGAGCAAGTATTGTAGATAGCTCACGAGTTTTCTGAAGGTGAAAGCAAATCCTCTCCTGCTCTTCCAGTTAGGAGATTTAATCCAGAGGGAGAATATACTTTCTTTGTCTTCTGAAACGTATACTTGGTTTTGTTTGAATTTTGCCTGGAAAAACCTTCCCCCAGGATTCTATGTCATATTTTTAAAATTTTTATTTATTTATTTATTTTTAGGGGAGGTTTTTGGCGCTCGCCAGAAAGACAGAGAGAGACAGAGAGACAAAAAGTGAGAAATCACACCCCAGGGGGGATGGCCATGCCACAATCCCTTCACCTCCATTCTCCTCTTGTGATCTTGGGCATGCACGTACACCGCCCAGCCTGAGTTTAAGCCACCGGGTCCGGGACTCGAGTTGCAGTCGGCTACATGGGAGTTCAGCGACATAGCCATTATGCTAACTGCTGGTTCCTCTATATCATATTTTTAAACAGGACTGAATTTCAAATTAATTTACTGTAAATTTTAACAATTACATGGTATACTTTTATTTGAAAACAGATGAATGATGTTTTCAATTTTTTTTTCCTTAATTATTTCTTTCAGTTATATTGATTGTTATCCTCCAAGAATAGTTAGGCTGATGCAAGGCACTGAAAATAACCGCTGCTTTTTAGAGTGTATTCTGTTTAAATGATAACAGCTTATCTTATTGCTAGAAATATATATTTTAAAATTTCTTTCTCGGCAGTTTTATTTATGTAATTTATCATGAGACTGAGTTCAGAAATTCGAGTTCTTTCAGGTTTACTAGGTATAAAGAAATGGTGGACATATTTATCAGCTTTTGCAATTTTATTACTTTATAAATGTTTATATTCTGTTTCATTCCATAATACATTCTTTATTAGATACTGTCCTATTCGTAGACAATTAACTTGTTTTTGGAGAGGCTCATGTTTGTTTATGAGTAGAAGGGAAGTGTCAATGCTGAAGTGGCCAAAGGGAGCCAAAAGGCTCCTGGTGGACTACCTGAAGTCAAGCTCCTCTCTCAAAAAGACAGGCCTTTCCTAGAAATATGTCTATTCATGTACACTTTTTTTGTGCTTTAGATGTGGAAACAACTTCTGTGCTTCTCATCGCTATGCAGAAACTCACAGCTGCACCTATGATTACAAGAGTGCAGGGAGGAGATACTTGCAGGAAGCAAACCCTGTGGTTAATGCACCAAAACTTCCAAAAATCTAAGTCTTCCTCTGCACCTTGCTGTTCTGCCCGAGGAATCGTATTATAATGACAGAAGAAATATTGTTTAGACTGCATTATTTTTGTTCGACTCCAAAAGATTTGCCAAATAACAAAAACATACAGTGTATACTATCGGAGAATGAGCATGCTACTGTCTTTGACATCTTTACTCTTTGTTGAATCAAAATTTCAAAAGTAGTTTCAGAAATTTTATACTATAATAATTTAGGTTTGTTATCACATATCCCATTTTAAGGGTTTTATATTTGATACTGCAATTTTACTAGATAATTCTTCAAAAAATGCACTTTAGGAAGTTCCTATTGGCTGTGTAACCAGGCTTCCATGTGTACAGAGATGAATAGGCATGTGATGGCTCCGCTCAGATCAACCACGTCTTTTTTTTTTTTTTTTTTT